TGGTTTGGTGTGGAGGATGAGCTCTGGGATCCCCATTTTTGGAAAACCAGGCCTTCATCCCAGACTGTGCCCTGCAGGCTCTGGTTCTGCAGACAGGGAAAGGTTTCAGCCCCGTTTAATGGAGGATACAGGAGTGCAGGATTACATGGGAACTCCAGCAGGAGATGGACATGGTTCTGCCAAACTCTCTTTGCAGTTCTCCTGTGACAGAGAATGGGTTTGGAGAGAACCTACTGCTCAAATGGGTCCTCTTGCTGGAGGCTGTGCTGGAGGGAGTGCACACGCTAAGAGCCTCTTCCAAGCTGGCAAGTGACTTCCCAGGCCTTCCAGCCATCCTGGCAGGTGTGTAACCCCAAACCACTCTCTCTAAATGAGGCTGTGATTCCTGGGTGGATGCTGTGGGAGCTGAAAAGTCTCCTGATTGCTTTACAGGGCCGAGCTGCTTGCTGAATGAGTCTACAACAGGATCAAGGGAGGCTTTTCATTACCCTCACTCTATTCACAGCAGGGAGTTCCTGATGGGCTTATCCTGGGTTGGCCTTCCTGTCCTCTGGTACAGAGATTTGTCATATTTTTCTTGCTCCTCAGTTTCCTTCCCTGCTTTGAGACCTCATGTTGGACGAGAGATGCATGCTGGACATGTGATTCTCCCACCCCTTCTGTCCCTCCTGGCTGTCTGGAGGCAGGTTTACCCAGGGAAAATGTGGGTAAGCACTCTTGGCTGCGCCTGGAACGTGCAGAGCATCTTTGCTTGGAGAGAAGACAGCACTATTTCATAGCTTTGGCTGTAGCTGCATCTGAATTGTAACTAAATCCTCTTCCCAGCACAAGCAGCTGCTCCAGTGAAGTCACAGACTTGGAGCCAGCCCAGCAGATGTACTGCAGCTACCCAGGGTGTGGGTGGGAGTGAGACAGGAGCTGTATGAGCTCCTTCATTTTCTGAGAGCCCAGCCAGTGGGACTGGGGGACAGAGAAAAGAGAGTCTGACCTGGGCAGCTCTTGTGCTGCCTTCCCTGGGGCAGAGTGGGAGTTTTTTCCAGAAGGCAGAGCAGTGTGTTCAGCATCTCTTGTGTCGTACTCTCTTCCCAAGGGAACGAGTGTGTGCAGTGCAGGGATTTGCCCCAGAATTTGTACAGTCATGTGCATAAATACACACACATCCATCCATGCAGTGGCTGAGATGGGCTGGCAGAGGTGAAAATGATGTGCTGATGGATCCTGCAGCTGTGCAGCTGAACAGAAGCTATCCCTCATTTTCGGTATGTACACACACATGATGTATAAACTGTTGGGTGCCTTGCACTCTGAGCTCTGTGGTGCTCCTGGAGAGGTCGTGTTTCCCAGCCTGAGGCCAGCCCCACACAGGTGATGGTCACCCTTGCTTCTGAGAGCTCTGATCATGCCAGGGGAGCAAACCTGTCAACCAGCATCTTTATTGCAGAGCTTCTGTTGATCTTTGTGGACAATCAGAGCTCAGATTCGAGAGCTTTCAGATGAAGATGATGCTGTGGAGTTGCATTGGCTGTCCTTTGGAAGTCAGTCTGTGCAGGGTAAAGAGGCCAAAGCCAGTGTTTTTTCCCTGCTGCAGAAATGCTCCATAGCACTGTGGCAGCTGGAGTCTGTCTTTGCAAACAGAATATAGAGCAATGAGGTGGCAGTAGACAGCGTGGGAAGGAGGAAAGCCTGCCCTAACTGATGGAAGTGTCTTGCCCCATTGCAGGAGCTTTCTCTGCCTCCTATTTTTCCCCTGGCAAGATTATTTTTTACTCTGTTTCACAGCAACCAGGCTCTTCCCCCTGCCCCACTCCATGCTCTGCTTGCTCCGTCTGTGTGCTTGTCTTTTGATGTCAGTCACGCTTTTTGATTTGTAATGAGGAAACAGAACGTCTTTCCCTCTGCTGCATTTGCTTCCCCCAGTCCTCTGAACCCCTCAGTGCAGGAGGATGGGATTTAGCCACGGAACAACAGGCATGCCAGCAGTCTCTCAGGGCCCTGCAGAGGCAGCTGGAGGGAAGGGGCAGTGGGGAGCAGTGTCTTCAGGGATCACAGTAAGCAGCTATTTTGCTCCTTTGCTGGCCTGGTTGGTGATGCAGGGACAGCCCTGCTCTGTCAGATGACTGCTCTGTGCTTTGCCTCCATTCACTACCCAGGAGTGCTTTGGCACAGACCTGGAGGCACGTTCAGGTGCTCACTGTCCTGCTTATTACCCCCGAAACACCAGCCAGTCACTGCAGTGCTTTCCGTGGGATTGCTGCCAGAGTGCAGGAGCTGCCTTTCAAAGACCCAGAGGTGGTTCTGTCCCCCAGCACAAGCTGATTTTTGGAGGCACTGTGTGGTTTTGCATGGTCCGTTTGAGAATAGAGCTGTCTGGGACTTTTTTGATTAAGTAGGTGGTGGAGCTGTATTGATTTCATTTTTACAGGAGCTCAGAGTTTGGTACAAGTGAAACCCTTGATGTAGGAACACAGCTCAGGCAAAATTACCTCAGGTAATATTTTTGCAGTTTTAAGACTTGAGGTCAGAGGGAAATCTGAACTGAAGAGCTGCCCCATGCCTTAACCTGGGTCTCACAGCACTTTGGTGACAGCCCCAGCAGCAAAGCTGCTTTCCAGCCTTCTCATCTTTTGTTTTGGTTCCTGCTGCTTGTGGGTTTGCAGGGAAAGTGGAGATCTGGTCCCTGGCTCCTAGTGGTACCAGCATGAGGCACTGTGCTGGCTGAGCAGCTCTGCTCTTGCTGATTTATTCACGTGTCTGACTTTGCTGTCTGCACTCCCTGTTGCTGCAGGAGGGATTTGAAACCTTTCCTTGACAGACCTCAGTGTCAAGTAGTAAAAACTCATTTTGGGAGACTGTAGAGAGTCTGAGGGAAAGTGTGGGCTCAGACAAGGACTCTCCAGCGTCTCTGTGTCATTCCATATTCTTCCATTCCACAGAAGGTTTTTTTTTTTTCCAAGGGAAGTCCTTTCTCTGAACCTTGGCCTGGTATTTCTGTTGAGAATGCAGCTCCCCTTTGTGCTCTCTCGGTCAGCCCTCAGCATGGAAGGAGACAGGGGCAAGAAAGCAGCTGAGCAAACTTCTCAGGAGGCATCACTCCAGGTAACACCCAAATTTCTTAAAGTGGGTCAGTAACTCAGCAAGTCCCAGGGCACTGGAAGCTGCAGTGACATGGGTGAAGTGCACCCAGCCTTAGGGCTGGCTTAGTCCTGTGCCAAGGGCAGACTGGGGGCAAGAGGAGCATCTGTGTGGCCTGAGGTTTGCTGTCACAGTGCTCCCAAAATGCTGCTGCACCCGGTGATGTGAGCCCAGTGGCCTTTGGAGCTGGAAGGAACCTGGGTGGAGGAGCAGGGACGGTGTTCTTGGCGTGGTTCACATCAGGTGCTTCTCCTCAGACTGTGCCAGGGCAAAGCCAGTGTGTGCACCAAGCAATCAGCCCCTCAGGCTCCAGGGGCACAGCTTACTGAGGCAGCTGTCTTGTTCCAGCCACCCTCAGCCGCAGGGGCCTCATCAAATGCAGGGCTGTGAGAGACCTTTCAGACCTAAGACCAGAGTTGACTGTTCCTAGCAGGAAGCCTGATGGGGGATGTTTCTGGAAGTATTTGTGCCTGAGGGAATCAGGCAGCAGCTCAGTTAGGCACGGACTGATTTTTTTGCAAAATTTTCCTTCTCTTTGCTCGTTTCCAGCCGGTTTAAGGTCCACATCTATCTTGTTGATAGGATCATTTTAACAGCTAGTGGGCCATGGGAAAAGCCAGTCCCCTCTGGGTTCTTGTCCATTAGCCATGTTTGTAGGTACTGCTAATACACAATTAATTATTACTGCTACTACGTTCTCCTTCACTTTTATTAAATGGTGTTTTCTGTTTGCAGTCTGCTGAATGGTTTGTTTGCCTTCGTTTCTGTTCGTGTAATAACTCCTGCTTTCCTGCAGTTTCACTGCCTGGGGTAATGATTTTTTGGCTGCTCATAAGGTGTCCATTTAATTACAGGATATCTCTGGATAAATTTCCTGCCTGTGCAGTGCAGTGGTCTGTTCCCTGCTGCAGAGCAGTTTTCTCACTCTCTGTCCATTTTTGCCAGGGAAGAGGTGGACCTGGGCTCAGCATTAATGTGTCTGGCTTTTCACCCTCTATAAATTTAGGCCTATCTCCATGTGCACTGGAGTAGGAGTTTTGGGGGAAAACTAAGTGCTGACTTGGAAGAAAGCAGCCTGCAAGCAGTGGAATTAATAAAGCTTTGTGTCCTATAGGCATTGGCTCTCCCAGTTCAATTCCCTGGACAGAGCAAAATCCCTGTGTGGATCCACAAATGTTTAGAAGAAATTTGAGTTTGGTTTTTTTTTTTTTTTTATTGTGCCTGTTTTACCTTATCATTCAGGTCATTCCAGGATGGGCAGGATAAAAAGCCATCCATGCATATGAACAAGGCTTGGAGAAGGTTTCAGTCACCACAAGCTTGCCCTGGGTTTTAATGTACAGCTGAGAACTGGAAGACTTGGGCATCTCTGAAGCTCGGGTGTGCTGTAGTGTGGTGTCACTGAGTATTTCTGTGCCGTTACACAGAACCATCTCCTGAGGCTCCTCACTGTTCTAAAATCCTGTAATGTGCCCCATTATTTTGTTCCTAACACCCTCCTGCCCTGGCGACAGAAGGAACTGCTCCCGGTACCGCGCTGGCTGCATTATTGGGACTGTGGATCGGTTGGTTAGAGGGCAAAGAACATTGCCCAGCTGCCCTCACTGCCCGTGCAGACTCACTCTGAGCCACCTCCTCCCACTGCCGCCCTCCCGCAGGGCAGCGATACGATCCTACAGCTCCCTGCAAAGCCTGCAGCATTCCTGAGCCATCAGCCCCGTCCCTGCCTCTCCCTGTCACCCACTGAAGCCTCAGCACGAGCCTGGTTTTTAGGGATTGCTGTTCCCAGAACTCAGCAGGCTGAAGGGGGTGGAAGGGAGATAAACATCAGAGTTCAACATCCAGACAAACACGGCAGAGCACACACGGTAAATACATCCACCCCCAAACGCAAATACGTCAGCAGAGATTCCTGGCCCGGGGCTCAGAGCGGAGCAGGCTCGGACAGGAGAGCTGCACCATGAGGTGAGTGCAGGGCAGGGCCATCCCCAGCTCCTCTGGCCACTTGGCTCTGGGCAGGCTCTGGAAGGCAGGAACATGTGTCTCGTCTTGTTTAGCTGCTGCTCCAGTATGACTGCACTGATTCCTCCCAGTTTCTTCCACTGTCAGATGAGCAGGGTGTTGGGCATGAAATACCCCCTTTGCTATCGAGCCTGGCAGTTTAGATGTGTGGGTTTGGGGTATGATCTGAGTTAATGCTCCCTCTTCCTGTGTTAATCTCTGTTCCTTGGCTCAGGCTGTTTGTCTTGCTGGCTGTGCTCTGCAGTGGAGTGAAGAGCAGTACTGTGCCACAGAAAATGTATGGGAGGATCACGTCCCCAAACTTCCCAAATGTCTACCCAAACCACAAGGAGAGGATCTGGAATATTACTGTCCCCAAGGGATATTCTGTCCGTATCTACTTCACCCATTTCGACCTGGAGCTGTCCTACCTGTGTGAATATGATTATGTCAAGGTATGTGTAGGATGGGGTGACAGGTACCAGGGTAAGCTGTTAAAAACTGTGTTCATGTGATCCTGGGCACATGTAGGACCAGTATAACTCTTGTAAGCTCTTGATTTTAGTCTGGTTGTAAAGTTCAGGCTCAGCTGATTTCCAAATGACATGTTTATTGAGGCCCACAGGACCAGGAAGCAGAACTGGTTGTGTTGGAACGTCCAAAACTTGACCTGTTTGTGCTCAGAAAATTCTAATGCTCCCTTTCTGTGAAGCAAAAGGTTTAAAATTTTGTCCAAACCAACATTTGAGCTTCATGTTGCTGAAGTTACAGTGAGTGCTTCTGAATTAACAAGTAGTGCTTTACACAGGGTATAATGGGAGAGCAGAAAATGTAAGGGATGGTCTAACCAAGGTGCTGTCAGCTTGTCTGAACGGGCTCTGGCTGTGGTGTCTGCTGGATAATGGGAGGGACAACCTCAGGAAGAACCTGTCTATGTGGGCCTGATGCACATCCAAGAGGGAGCTGGGCACACAGAGAGGGTGCAAATCCAGTTTCCACCTGATGGAACCAAACCAGGCTGTTCCCACTTGGACAGATCTCATTTCCATGGGTTTATACGGTGAGTTGCTCCCATTCCCCAGAATGACACTGCTCTTCATGTGCTTTCCTTTGGGCAGGATGGGGCACTCCTTTCTGGTAGGTCTGCAGTGCACAGCCCCCTCTCTACCATGCCCAACACAAACCCCATGTGTCAGAACGTTTCTCTTGTATTAAGGATAAATTAAGAACTAAAACTCTAATAGGTGAATCATAGAGCAAGTGAGTCACTCATTTAAAGACACCTTTTACTATACATTTGAATTTGTCAGTGTGTGAAACTTTTTCTTTTCACCCCGGTTGCCTCGGGCTTTACCAAGATCTGATTCTCACTGAGAGCACCAAGTTAACAAGAAAGGAAAAAGGGAGACAAAATTACGGGCTTAAATCACAGAGAACAGGGGAAATCTTCTCTTATCTGTCCTTGGATGTAGATTTGGATGTAGCACGTTTTGAGAGCATCCAAACCTCCTTCCTCACACCATTAAACACAAGCTTTCCAAGCCATTGGGAAGGTCAGTGCTCTGTACTCATCTGGGGGATTTGTCTGCCTGTTTTGCAGCTGAGTTCTGGTGGGAAGACCTTGGCCACACTGTGTGGGAAGGACAGCACAGACACCGAGGAGGCTCCGGGCAACAAGACGTACGTGTCCATGGACAACCAGCTCGTGGTGGTGTTCCGCTCCGATTACTCCAACGAGAAACCATTCACGGGCTTTGAGGCCTTTTATGCTGCTCAAGGTAAGAGATCTTGCAGATGGGAGAGCCTCAGCTGTGGTGGGGTTGGTGCCTGGCTGTGTTCTGTGTTGGGTGGGGGACGATGTCTCGTACAGAGGCAGGTGCAGAAGGGCACAGCAAGCAAAGGCAAACAGCCCAGCCTCTCAAAACCCAGAGTGGCTCACAACAAGAGGACATGTTGTTGAAGGGTGCTGTTTACCTGATTCTGTGTTTGCCCATTAGATATTGATGAGTGCAAGCAGCTGTTGGATGGTGAACCCCTCTGCAATCACCACTGTCACAACTACGTGGGGGGCTACTACTGCAGCTGCAGGGCTGGCTACACACTGCATGGAAACAAGAGGACGTGCACAGGTGAGCTCTTGATGGGTCAGGAGACACTTCCCTACCTACAACATCCACTTAAATCCAGTCCTGACTCTAACAGAAGGTGAAAGCTGTGGGGTTTTGCTGTTGTTTTCACATTCCCTGTTCACCTGGTGCAGCTGGGAGGAGGTCCAGGGGGTTGGTCAGAGCTGGGAGCAGAGGCCCTCCCTTGCAGATGAGCTGTGGGCTAGTGGTTGCCATTAGGACAGCAATTTTGTGTGGCAGTAGAATGGTGCTCTGGCACTTGGTTTTGGTGACCCCTTTCCACCTCTGTTCACCTTTAGGTGGGTTGAATGGGAGAGGCAAGAAACTCACCTTACACTTCCCACCACAGACAACTCCAGTCTTCCTGGCTGCCAGTGCAGCCAGTCTTGCAAAACTGAGTACATCTTGTTCCCTGGGTACTGAGATACTGAGTAGTCTGGAGCCAAATTAGTAGATGTGTTGGAAAAACTGACAGTTGAGCTGTGAATTCTAATGGGGAAATAGTTAGTTTTCTTCCCTGGAAGGACACAGGCCAAGAGGCAGCACAATCCACATGTCACTGACAGCAGCTCCCATGATCCACTCATTAAATGGTGGGCTGGCCAGGCACAGGTCTCCTGTTCAGAGGGCTCACAGTGTGAGATCTCTCACTGACTGCTGCCCAGCCCTGCTCCTCAGGTCAAACCAGGGAAAAAGAGCAGCACCTCAGGATTCCCTGTGCAGTGAAACAGGGGCCTACACGGGGTGAGAGGTTCATCCTTCAGGGGTGCAGCTTTGCTAACTGGAGCTGAACCCTGTCTGGGCAGAACCAGCACACACACTGCTCATAAACACTGTCAGAGGTGGAAGATGGTTTCCTTGAGCTCCCCTGTGCTGAAATACAGGATTGGATCCAGCTTCTAACGCTTAAGGTTGCCTTGGCATTTGTCTTCCCAAATCCAGCCTGTTACAAACTGTCCAGCCGTGGCTGCCTGGGTCTGATTCAAGCTCCAAGCTCCTCATGTCTCCAGTGTATTGGAACAGGCTGTCCTAAGAGATGAGGGCAGAAGCTGCCCCTGTGACTTCTGGGCTGCTGCCTGGCCAGGCTGCCATTGACAGGCTCTTTTTCTCCTTTATTTTCCAGCCTCAGATAATTAAGCTTCTCCTGGCTTAGGCAGAGATGGAGACAGATGTGCTGGGAAGAGCTGGTTTCCCTCCCTCCTGGCCTGCCTGTTGCAGTCTGCCCAAGGGCTGCAGGCTTCTCTTGCTCCATGACTTGTCTGTCGTGGGTCCTTGCCTTTCAGACCTGCCTCCTGCAGACAATAAAGAGGCTGTTCCTTGTTGAAAGCTGATGGCAGCCTCTGGGGCATTCATTTTCTCACATTTCCATGTGTCACTTGGAAAAAAAAGAAGGTAGATAAGGCAGGAGCTGATAAGAGGGGAGCCATTGTGAAAGGCCCCTGAACATCACACCTTAACATGAAGACTCTTGAATTTCTTGTCCAGCTCTTGTTGCTTGACCTTCCACAGTTCTTAAGCTGCAACAAAACCATGACCACACCTTTGCTCCCTAATCCTCCTTTTAGATACACTCTTGTCTGCACACAGATTTGTAGGCTGAAACTTTCTGTTCCAAGCCCATTCATTCTCTGGAAGGGTCTGAATTTGTCTTTATCCCCATTTTGTGACTCTGGCCATTTCTCCACTGGGAGCCTGGTCTCATGGCTGAAGTGTGTTCTGGTAGGAAAAACTGGGGAGTTCCAGGAGTTTGGTAAAGCCACATGAGTGTCACAGGGCAGCTGAGGTGTCTTTTCCTCACACAGTGCCCTCCCCACGTAGGTGCAACACCAGGCAGGCTGTTCTTCAGCCCAATTGCTTGTGGTGCTGATTGGTGGTGTCTCAGTCCCCTGCCCTACAGTGATACCCACTGGATGTCCAGTTAGGCTGTCCCCCCTTTGGGCAGCCATCCTAAAACATGTTGGAGAAATTCTCATTTCAGGCCACTGCATTTGCAGGCTTCAATATTCCCTTGAACAGGTCACTTGGTACCAGCTTTGAACATCCATCAGCAAAATGAGAGGAAACATTCCTGCCCTGACTTACTGGGAACATGCTTAGTAAGTGTCTAGGAGGCGGATGCTGCAGAGCACAGATCTGGGGGCAGAGAGGCTGTGCAAGCACTACCAAGGCTTACTCGTGCCATGTTTAATCCTGTTCAGAGGCTGTTTCATGGTCACAGTGAATTGTGATCAAAGCAGCCTGAAATTTTGTCACGGCTCAGTGACACAATTTATGACCCACCTTTCGTTGGGGGCCTAATGAGCCAATGGCAATGGACCTGCAAGTTTTGAGGGGGTCATTTTTCAGAGTTCAAGCCTCTGGCAAACAGCTCTCTGTGATCCCAATAAAAATATGGCCTCAGCATAATTGAGCACTCTCAGGACAGCCCTAAAGCTCGGACTGAGCAGTCAAGGGAGAGCATTTCTGCTGGCAGATGTTAAAAAATCATTTGATCCTTTTTATGCTGGGTGTTTATGACTTTCTTGCTCACAGAATTATGGAAGAAATTACTGCCCTGACAAAGGGAACTCCCAGTGGCCACATCCAGAAGGTATTAGGAGAAAAGTAAGGTCCAGTCTGAGCCTTTTCATCTTCAAGCTGCAGATTCCCTTGGACGAGCAGAGTGCCTTCTGTTGGGTCAGCTAGTTCTGTTCATGTGACCACAGGTCAAGAGAGTTTGTTGGTGATGATTCACATTTTTCCCAAACTGTATCATGAAAGTCTCACGTCAACATTAGGAAACTGAGTTTAAAGGAGAAAGATGTAATGAAGTATTAAAAAACATTAGTCCCTGTCTTTCTCCCTTTTCAGCCCTTCAAAACAAGGCCAGTTTTCTGCATTACTGGGTTTTTGTTCGTGCTGCAGCAGCGTGTGGGGAGCCCAACCTGCTGCCTGTGGGACTGGCCAGCACCTCAGGCGTCAGTGGGCACTGCAGCTCAGTAAGTGTTTTTCAGAGTACACTTCCTGAGGGAGCAGAATCCTGGCTGTGTGTCAGCCTTGTGGTTCTCATCCTTTAAATTCATCAGGTGTGCCTTTGCCCTCTGATTACTGAGAAGGTCACCAGCTTTCAGGAGCTCCAGTGGGTGGTTACACACACTGTTGTTCTGTCTCTGGCATATCTGTGTTACCTCATCCTTTCTCTCTCTTACCTGTATTTATACTGAGCTTTAGCCTAATAACACTTTCAGCAAAGGAGATAATGGTAACCTTGGTAAACAGAAGCCAAGGTGTTGCTGCCTTCTAATTCTGAGGTTCTTGTAAGAAAGAATTTAACCTTACCAACCTGAGTAATCCCTCCTTTGCATGGGAGGTCCCACACCCAGGGACAAATGGTTTTGTAGGTTATATGAAAAGGATTCTGTTGCAGAACTGGCAAAGAATTTGAGATTCTGACTTCTTAATGATTTCAGTAGGGAGTTAGGGGCTTAAAGAGAGTCCTCATTATATTGTGGCTTGGGAGCCCCCGGTGGTCCAGGGGAAAATACACTGCACTGTCACTGCAGAGACCCGGGTTCGATTCCCGGTCGGGGCCCCTCCCCGGGCAGATGGAGCTCGTTAGCCCATAAGGCTGTCCAAGCGTGCTTGGCCCTGGCAGATGAACCTCAGGATTAAAGGGTGGGCTCAGTTCTGCGCACACTGTGTCTCACCTAAAAAATCCAATGTGCAGGCTGGAAGGTGGAAAGACCTTCCCCGGTTCTTCGTTCGCGAAGAGACTGGCCATGGCCATGGCTTAGGGTAGGAATTCCCACTGTCTTCTCTCACACCCAAGGATTTCATGTTTTCATCCCTATCTTTTCCTATAATTGCCTCCAGACTAGTCCTGAAGGGGCTGTGGAGTTTGCACAGATATTGGCAGTTTTCAGTCTTAAGAAAAGCAGATTTTTTTTTTTTTTTTTTTGCACTTCCATGGGGGTGAGCTGCATCCTGCTAGATCTGCATATCAAATAGATCTCGGGGTGTTTCTCAGCCTGGGCTGACAGCAGGTGGAGGGAGGCATTAGAGTGGGACCTTAAAGCCTGGGAGAGGCAGCGAACTCTGTGTCTCTGGAATATTTGAAGCAGCTCAGGAGAGTGTGCTGGAAAACGTGCTTTATTCTTACACAGTCAAATGCTTCTGCAGTTTGAGACACAATCAGTGACATTACAGAAATGTGCATTTAGCTGGGAAGAATGAGACAGTAACAATTAAGGAAAAAAACCACTTACTAATAATCTTCTACAAGTGTAGCATGAAAGGAAAAGCTTGAACTCCCTTGGCAGCTCAGCTGATCTCTGCTGGTGCAGAGCAGGGTGCTGTAGGGCTGGGTTCAGGGACAGCCAGCACCTGCAGGTGAATTAGTCAAGCTGTCTCCACTTCTTTGGACCAAGAGATGCATTTCAAACAGGATTTATAAGTTAGGAGAGCACTCAGTTTTAATGGAATAGGCATTTCTAGGTGTTCATTAGCTGTTTGTGTATCTGTCAGCTGTGTTTGAAAACCTGTGAGAATGAACTGGAACACCGAGAGGTGCTCACTGAGAGTCACTGGGGCCATGAAAAGGTTCATGTCAAACAAAAGCAGCTGCTGGTAACTCTCTGGGAAGATGGACAGAGGGAGATTGTTCTGAAATCACAGCTAAAAGAAACACTTGGTGCCTGAGTGCATCATGACTTGTGCTGGGGTATTTTAGTGAGCTGAGAGCCACACAAACATAAACCTAAAAGATGATCCTTTTACCTGTTCTTGCTTTTCTTTCCCAGTAAATGCTTGTGATACAAATATTTTCTGTGGCGACAAGTGGGGCTGACACAGAGGTATAGGGTGGAAACGAGCTTCTCATTCTCTGAAGTAAAAGCAGCTTAGAACCTTGGCTAAGGAAATCCATTATTAAGGGACAGTAATGTTCGTTTACTCATTCACAACTTGGTGCCCTCCCATTAAAATGACAACCTTAAACTGTATTGTCTGTTTTGAGATGACAATCTGCAATTAATGCCTGCACAATGGCATTTTTGTTGGTGGAGGTTAGCATGGTGTGCTTGAGGATTCAATTCAAAGTCAAACAATTTCCCTCTTCCAATTATTTCAGTGTCAGAGCGGTGCAAAAATCTGCCGGTGTTATCAGCCAGTCCAGCATTCCTCCTCAATTACAGGATTGCTCATACAGCTCTTGCAGCACATCATAAAGCCTTTGTTCCCAGCTGATCAAAGCACCACTTCACAGTGATCAGATGCTGTCAACAAGCAGAGATCCTCGGGGCACTTGTGGCTGTTCCTTCTTGCTTCTCTTCAGCAGGGAGCATTTGTGGCTCCAATTGTGCCGGCAAGAGGCACAGCTGGTTTTGCTCAGAGAATACAATTACATTCTAAACGTCTGGCAACAAAGGCATTAAAAAGAAAGGGCTGCATTCAGAGGCTTCTGGAATTGAGGAGCAGATAGCTATCTTACCACTCCACACACTCTGGAGCAGCAGACAAGCTACAAATTTAACACCTTGGAATGTTTCTGAGGAGCTTCCAGTTATCACCCCCATTTACCTGACCCGCAGCCCTGCAGGCCTTTCAAGTGGTGCTGTCCCGGTGTCCTTCCCTGCCCCTCTCCCGAGGCAGGAGTGCTGGATAGTGCTGGTGCCCTGATCCCACCCCAACAGATCTGTGGCTCCAGAACTGTCATGAAGGCCTCGACTAGTGTAGAAAATTAACTTCCTCCTTTACCCGGCGTGGCTGAGCTGAGTTAATACAACTACAATCATCTCCTGTTTGTTTTTTCCCAGCCCGCTGTCAGAGTCCCATTTTTACTGAGAGGATTGGAGAAATCAGCGGCCCTGACTATCCAACAGCTGATCTCAGTTCCTGCAGCTGCAGGATCCAGATAGAAGAGGCTTCCTGATGGTGCTGGAATTCATGGAGACCTTTAATGTGGAGACACACCCAGGACTGCTGTGCCCCTGTGATGTCCTTAAGGTAAGGTGAGGTTTAATGCATTTCATCACAGCTTTTATGAGGCAGGCCCAGCTTTTTTACTGCACCTTCTTCAGCCCATGTTTCACCATGTGTTCATTTCTTCTTCTTGCTTCAGTTTTGTTATTTTGGGTTTGGTGGTTTTTTTTTTTTTTTCCTCTCAACACCTCTTTTGGAAAATTCACCAGAGCCATCAAATTAGATTTCATCCCAACCTCTGTCCTGTTCCTAGAACTTCATACTGGAAAGGCCTGAATAGTGACCAAACGCTGGTGCTTTGAAACAGTGGATTCATGGGTTGTTCTCAGCAGTGTGCCTACCAACCAAGTGGCTGCCAGGGAATTTAATTCTGAAATTCTGAGAGAAGCCCAGAATCCCCCCTGATTTTATAGCTCAACTTGGCACATGACTTTATTTCAGAGAGCAATTTTCCCAGCTTGTGAAGAGTTACAAGGTTACGTGTTGAGGCAACAGCCACCCTGGGCTGGTCCTGTCGGTGCAGGTCACTGCATCCCTTTGCTGGGGAGTCAGTCGCAGTTTTAACTGCAATTGTAAATTTGTATCCACGAGTGTGGAAGTGGAGAGAAAGGGCAGAGAACCGAAGAAGCTTTAGCACTAACAAAGCGGTGCTCCGTGCCCTCCTGCAGTCCGTGTGCCGCAGTCCTGAAGCACCACCCCATGGTCACAGCGCACCAGTGCAAGCCCGGCCTGTCCTGGTGACAACCGCGCTCTCTCGTGACATGAGATATCACTGCTCGACACGGGTGAACCCTGCCAGCCCCGCCGGACTCCATTTCCCGGGGATTAAACGCGTAGGTGCCCTTTCTCATCAGCACTTTCCGCTGCTCACATACCGTAATTAGAGGTGTGTTCAGCACACTGGGTTTGTCCTTTGATACCCTCCCTGAGGAATTGCTCCTGTACGTGTCTGTGTGTACCAGACATACCACCCTTGCTGCTGCTGCTGCTGCTCAGAGATTTGCTTCTCATTACGTTGGAAGAAAAGGAGGATTTTACAAAAGATTTCACCAGATCAGTGTAGCGAGAATTTTTAATGTTCTTCGTTTGTTACTCATCTCTCCAGGGAAGTTAAAACATGGTTATTCCTGCTGAAAGCTGCACTTCACACTTCTTAGTAACTGAACTGAGCTTCGCAGCAGGCACTTTTGGAAGGTGCTTCAGTCTGGGTATGCTTATGGAATTTTAAAATCATTGGCAGGTGATGGTGGTTTGGGGAGGCACAGGCTTAACTCAGCAGTCACTTTATAGTCTGTCTGATTTGACAGGTGCACTGTTTATGTAGAAACCCAGAATAACTGATGTGAGAGTTATGGTTCCACACATGTAGTGGGAGAGCTGGGTGGGGGTGAAAATGCAGTGACAAAATCCAGGGCCAGTGTGAAGCCCCTGTTCTGCCCTGGGAAGGCCAATGGAATTGGTAAGGCCTAAGCATGGAATTAAACGTGGTCCTTGGCTGTGGGGTGTGCAGGGAGAATGTCCCTGGAGCTTTGCCTGTGGGAAGGATTTGCATTTTTAAGCTGTGTAAGCAATGCTGAAAGATACCCACGTAGCATTCAATCCCAGCTGGGAGCTTCCTTACCTTCCCTAATCCGTCAGTGGATTTAATAGATTAGATCCTGGGAATAGCCCGAGGGGGGGAAGTGACACTCACCTTCTCAGGAGCCTGGAGGGACTGAAAAGCCACCTAAAATATGTTGTCAGAGGATGCCTGTAGAGTCACTTTGCTGGTGAGCAGTGCCCAGCTGTTGTGTTCACTGGTTCTCCTTTGTGCTGTCTCTGGGATGCAGGTCAAGGTGCATGTGGTGATGGACACCGGAGAAACTGCAGCTCGTGGCTCAGCAGCAGCCGCACAGACCTGCCTGCTGGGCTGGGCAGAGTCACCCACAGCTATTCCACTGCTTGGGCACAGGAGCAGGTACAGCCCTGGGGCTTTCCTGGGTTTCTTTTAGTACCTCAAAGCTGCTGAGGCAGAACCACCTCACTGCAGAATGGTCGTTTTTAACAATCAGCTGCCACCTTTGTTACGCTGATTTTCAGACTGGCAAGTGCTACAGGTGCTGTTTACAGGGAGGAACACCAAGAACACTGAAAATGTCATGGTGTTACCTTAGATTTGTTAAACCATTTACTATTTTACATGCCTTGGTCTTTCCTGAGTCTCCCCAGCACAGCCAGTATTGCAGATTAACGCCCAAAACTCAGTTCAGTTCTCCTTGAAGAGAGCAAAAAGCTGAACGTTCCTTTAGTCCAGCTCTTTTGGAGAATGCAGTTTCACAATTAACTAAATTGTTGCTTTTAAAGTGCTTGGCATTGTTTCTGACAGGAAGATTGAACCACACTCCAGCAGTGCTTGTGAGGGGAAAAGCCACTGTATTCCCTCACTGCACAGTACAGGGTTGGGAATTTTGTTTTTTAATGCCTGAACTGCTAGATTAATTACACTGTAAAATTAGTCAAGATCCAAGACTGAGTTTTGGGAGAAACATTTTACAATGTAATAGCCTAATTGTCACTCTTATCTTTTAGATTAGAATATCCATATATTCCAATTACCTTAATTTACATTTAGAACAAATGCATTTCCTTCTCCATGCCCAAATTCCTCAGCAGTGCTGTCTCTCTTGATTACAGAACTTTTCCAAAGGATGCACTCCTAATGAAAATTGTATTCTAAATCAAATATTCATTTGCAGGCAATTTTACCATTCCAAAACAATCTAGGAATTACATTTAGAATCATTAACTTAATTTAATCCATATAAGCACAATAATTCAGTGTTCAGATCCCAAACTGTTAAACAGCTCTTGTTGCCTTTGTTGCCTTGCACTTTGTGGAGCTGGTACACGGAGCAAGGGGACTTAGAGAGTTTCCCTGGAAAGTGGTGTTAATTATAGGGAAAGGAGCTGTGTGTGACAGCGGGGCTCCAACAGCTGCTCATGGTGTAGCTGAAGAAAGAAACCCCTCAGCTTTGAGCAGTGCGCTGGAGATTTGGAGCAAACACTATGGGGAAGGCCAGACAAAAATAACTCCTGAAGGTATAAAAATTATCTTGACCACTTTGATAATGGTGTTGGCTGGAGTGGAGCAGGAGCAGTCAGTACCACTCTCACCCTGCTTGATCACCAGGAGATCAATCTCAGGTGACAGCAGGTGAGGGGGAGGCAGAACAGCCCCAGCAGCTGCTGGAAACCCTTCAGCTGTACAAAGCTGGCACCCACCTGCAGCAGGCTCTGCTCTTTCCTTCAGACAGGGTACTTTGCTGTGTTTTCAGCAGTGCTGTGGATCCTGAGCATGGGTCCCTCAGCACCCCTGTCCTGCCCCCCTGCCCCTGCCGGGACCTGCTGCACAGCCCTGCCTGCAGAGCTGCACAGATGGTGCTTTCCCCTTCAGAGGCACAACCTCAGTCCCTGTTCAGCTGATTCTCAGAACTAATGAAAAGCAATGTCAGAAAAAAAATGTTAACAAAATGTTTAAATAAAAGTTTAAAAAAATATATATAGACCCCCTTACAATATAAACTTCCTTTTTCTCGTATCTCACCTTCTTTCATTAATATTTCACTTTCTAGAATAACTGAAAATGAAGTACCATTAAAAACACAATCAAGACTCGAAACACTTCAATGTATTTTCAATAACAGTTTATTTACTCACTTATAAACACTAGAGTATGCAAAGCAGTTAAAAAATACTACTGAAACTTGAAAATTACTCTAAAATTTTGGGGGATTTTGTTTGAGGGTGAAGGAAGGCTAAAATTATTAGCAAAGACTACTCAATGCTGCCAACCAGCCACTTAAAACCTAAGCCTGAACAATTTAAACCTTAAATTTAAAGAATTAAAACCATGCTAATTACAAAAACTTACCACAAAGTTCCTTGCAGGGGGTCACAGTTAGTCTTTGGAGGTCCAAGAATACCATTTTTAAGTGTTACTCAGCAGAAGTAGCTGGTAATAGTGCAAGTGCTAAAATGCAAAATTCACAGATGGGACAGAGTTTGGAGATTATTCTGATTTAGGTGCAGGAAAAAAAAATGTAATCAACTTTTTGCAGTGGAATATGAACAAAGGTGTGAGATTACTTCTCAGCCTGAGTGTTTAGAAACCCTCTTTAAACACTGAGATACAGCTGATTTTTTTAACAGTGCAGGTGGAAACTCAGCCGTGCACTTTTGTCTGCTGTTCAGGTGCTCTGCCCTTCACCAGCCTCAGCAGGACACACAGTAACGAAGATCTCATTTGCAAAGTCCCACAGGTTAAACCCTGTACAAATATCCCCATTCAGACTGCTCACAGCCCCAGCACAGCATTATGGTGATACAACAACAAGGACCAGGTGGCAGCAGGTTCCAAGCCCAAGTAGGTGAAACAATTCCTCAAGCTCCTACCACCAGTGGAACTTCCCTCCCACCAGTTTCTGCTCAAACGCCCTGCCCTTCCTTAAGAAGCTGCCCCTTATGTGACACCTCTGCACCTGTCATAAACTTAAGTTTTTCAGACTCAGAATTTATCAGCCTGTTTATATTTACTGGTGCTTTATTCAGCTGGAAAGTCTTTCCTGTGACTAGTTTTTACCCGGAGTTAATAGTGTTCTTCTGGGCTGGAAGTGTGGCAGCAGCCTGTTTCCCATGAGTGGGCTGGTCTAAAAGCAAGTTAAAAACATCCATGCCCAAAGGAGGTGCTGCGGACAGCGAGTGTCTGTCTCCCCCAACCCCCTCCTGCTGAGGAACTCCAACTCCTAACCGAACAAGTCCCATTCCTTGGCACAGATGGAAGCTGGAGGGAGCTGCTTACCAGTCTAGGTGCGGGCACCCCAAGGTGTGGGACCTGGATTTTAGATCTATGTCACTGCACAGTGCAAGGCTACAGTGGCTTAGAGGTGTGTCGGTGGCTCCTTTAGAACCTGCTTATCTGAAACAAACCGAGTGACTGCAAAAAGCTTTACAGAAGTTCATCTCAAAAGGGTAAAATTAATTAACTGCTATGAATTCTTTGCATTCAGGGCTGCAAAACAAAGACACATATTACTTAAATCAGTTTTATTTAAGAATTTCCTACAGTGACAAATCTTATAAAAAGCATCCAAACACGAAACTGCAGCAAACAGCATTCTTATGGATATCTTACAGACAGTGGAACTTCCACCCTGGAGAGGCACACTGAGCTCTAGTGATCTCTGCTACAAGAGCTACTGCAAAGCACACCACAAGCTCAATGTTCTCATCACAAACCCCATCATCTTCAAGTCACATTACCACACTTACAGATCATTAACAGAAAAAAAACACACACCATACAGCATTCACAGCAGTTGACATAAGGGAAAAGAAATACAAATATTCCATTTCACATAACACATTCAACTAATTGATTAACTAGGTAGAGAACCCACTTAAAGTCTTCCACATATGGATGTCCTTTGAATGCAATAAACACTCGTACTTTATTTGCTATCATTGCTCTCCGCACACTCTCTCACCAAAGCCACAGGATTGAGAGACATCTCGCCAAGTCAAATAAAATCCCATTACTGCACCACCAGGTCTCTGCATGCGCTCGCTCCTTTATCTCGCACATACCAGCCCTCTCATGCCTCGGCACCACCACCAATCCCACACAAGGTTTCAAAAGTTCAAACAGCCTTCTGGTTCCATCTCACAGCCTTGCGTTCACAGCGTTGATACGACTCCATGAAATAAAGAGTAGCGGATAAAAATGGAACACCCACCGTCTAAGACGCAGCATGTGCGGTGTGATGAAGTATTCTTGGATGAGAAAGCATGTAGACAGAAGTATTCCTAAGGCAGAATATTTACAGCACTGCTTTCAATGAAGTGCTTCTTCCATACACATTTTGAAATGAGATGAACTGCGGAGATTAAATGAAGCCTTCATATCGTACTTTAAGTATGGAGGGGAGACAGTGTTAAACAAAAACACAAAACAAAAACGACACTGTGTTGTCCAACGGGGCACTTGGAGAGTCTTATGGTGGGATCAAATTAAAAACAAGAGGGAGAGAATGCTGTTTCTGACCAATGGTTCCATTTTGAACATGCAAAGAATTCAGGTAGCCAGGAAACAAGGGATAAAGTATTACAGGAGAAACCTTTCCTATCGACTGTAGTGTTAGTTCACCTGTCGGGCAAACAGCAGTCCACTTCCAAACATTCAGAATTCCAACTAGATATGTAACAAAACTTAGAAAATTCCTTTTACCTTTCTTTTCTTTTTCTTTTTTTTTTCTTTTTTTTTTTTAAAAAAAGAAAAACGTCAAAAATACTGCTGAATATACTGCACACTGAACAAATTGATTTGGAAAACTTTAGTATATATGTAATTTACAGTATACTTACCATGAGTTAGAAAAATTTGATTTCCCACCATAGAGTCAGTATCAGAGCCCACTGCGTCTACATCCCCCAGCCTGAGGACTTGGAATCCATGCTGGAGCCAAAGCCTCCGTTAAACCCGCTGCTGGAGCCTGCGTTGGAGGCCGAGCCCCAGCCTATGGCTGCCCCCGAGTTGGACCCTCCGTACGAGTTGTTGCCTGAGCTAAAGCCCTGGTTCTGCTCCCGCTGCATGTTGCCTTGGGGCTGGTTGTTCCCCGAGGGCCCCGACTGGTTCTGCTGGCTGGCCAACATGCCCATCATCCCCCAGCTGCTCTGCAGGGCCGCCTGTGCTGCCGCCATCATGGCAGGGTTGATGCTAAAGGCCCCGAAGTTCATCCCCCCACCCATGTTGCTGCCCTGGTTGTTCCCCAGTCCTCCCCCGCCTCCTCTGCTGTTGCCAAACCCACCCTGGTTCCCAAAGCCTCCCGGGTTACCACCAAATCTTCCACCTCTCTCTAACTGTCTATTGCTATTGTGCTTAGGTTCAGCATTGGATATATGTACGCTGATTCCTTTAATGATCAAGTCCTCTCCACAAAGAGACTGGGCAACCTATAAGAAATAAGGGATTGATTAAATGTATGTTAGACGTCTTTTTTTAGATGTTAGTAGTACAAGACAAAACATCCCCCATGATTCTGAGCAGATATTTAACCTGCAAAGGAAGCATAGGCATGTACTTAATCCAGTCTGAAGTGGTTTATCTTTGCATTCACCACTACACTAGCTGCAGTATAAAAGCCTGTCTGGAAGTGCAACCTCAGTCCATTCAATAAATCAGATCAAGCTAACACCACTGGAATCCTCAAGACAGTGGACAAGTAAGTGTTTCCTGTGTAGTTCCAGAAACGATACTTTATCAAGCTACTGAAATGCAGGCTAAATATGAAGTTAAAATATGACTTACCTGATCATCTGCAAACGTAACAAAAGCAAAAGCCCGGAAGGGCTTAGGAATGAAGACATCTACCACTTCCCCATACTGGGCAAAGAACTGTCGGAGTTCATCTGCCGTCATGTCCTCGGTGCAGCGCCCCACAAACACCTTCCTGCTGCGCAGAGGCTCGTCAGGACTCTGCTGCAGGGACGGGAAGGACAGAAACATCACAACCACCCTGCAGAGCTGAGTTACAGTGTGATAAAGGCCCTCCTCGATCCAGCCTGTTCTGAGGGCTGAAGATCAAGGAAGTTTGAGATTGTAGAAGTACTTTAAAAAAATCAGTGGAATTCCACTCCAAGAACAAACCTGCAGCCACGAGAAAATGAGGGTGGGAGCAACACATGGGGACAGTGACAAGGCACTGCAGAAGGACGCTTTTTTGGTAATAACTGCTTATAGAGATACTGGGAGCTACAGGTTCAGTTTTGAACTCAAAGACTTAATCTGCTCTTCCCTAGGTTAGTTATTCCAGTTGCTTTATTCTGCATTTATTCATGCAGCAGACAAGTTAGGCAGGTACTGCTGGACATTAAACACACTATTTCCAGATTTTCATCATTCCCTCACATAAGCAGCTATTTTCCCATCTCACCCAGCTCCTCCCTCTTTTCTCTCAGCACCAATGAAAGCAGCAGTAAAACCCAAAGTACCTTAGAGTTGGGGAGTTTACAGTCACACCACCTTCCATCGATCATGTGCCGCTGTGACATCACCTTCACCTGGGTTTCGTAATCCGTGAACCGAACAAACCCAAACCCTTTGGAGTGGCCTGTTTTAATGTCCTTCTTAACCTAAGGGCAAAAAACAAAACCAGAAGTCACCACGAGGATGAAGTGCATTGTTACTGAAGCAATTTAGTGAAGATCTATTTGAAAGTTTTACAAATACTGTTATCACAGCAACATCCAATTCCTTAACATCTCCCCCAAAAATTAATAACAGGCTCATGGAACAAAATATACCCTTAGGAAGAGACACAGCTTCTGATCTTCCCCAAGCTGACATGGCTCTATGGTTTCTATTTGCTTTCTCAGGAACCTGATTTCTACCCGATGTCCCTCCTTCTCTGAGCTGCAAAAGGATTTTACCTGCACCATCAGAACTTCTCCAAAGGTACTGAAATATTCCTTTAAGTCTTGTTCAGTGGTTTTCCAGGGAAGACCCAAGACTATTAAATCTGAAGTCTTCTGTACTGCTCGTTTCACTTTCACAGCTGATGATGCATCAGTTTCATCCATTTTTCTCTTATTATCTGAATATAAAAAAGTACATTAGACATCATCCTCAAATCTGGAAACTGATCCATTGATTATGAACTGCACGGTATAAAATCATGACCTCTGATGAGAAAGAGTACAGACTACAGGAGACACATGCCAGCTGTTGGGAGCTGATTATAACATATCTGACTGCCCTGAACCAAAGCCAGTCCACATTGAAGTCCCTCTTCAGAATGCAATTTGACCCAGTTAGCTCTGCATTAGTTTACTTAAGTATCATCCAGCAACACTCACAGACCTACAAGGTGGAGAACACAGGAGGTTTTAACACGAATATTTCACTAGTGATTTATTTACTTCCCCTTTTTTCCAAGGTGGTGGGGCAGGGTGGTCTGACTTCTTTCCTGAGCACTTTTAAATGGTACCTCTGACCAAACCAGGCTTGAGAAGTGCCTGTGAGTACAGAGGTCCCATTACACCACGATCTCTGAAGGTCTAGATGAGGTTGTGGACCTTTCAAGGATGATAGAAGACTTCGTCATTAAAGCGTTTGTTTGGGTAAAGTCTTAAAAACTTAGTGGGGTCAAATCTACTCGGCAGGACAGACACGCACGTAAATCGCTGATCCCTGTGAATCAGAGGGTTCAGCAGTAACAGCTCAGCAGTGACTCACGCAGAGAACACAACCCTGTACAAAGAAGCGATGGAACGAGCACAGACCTTTGGGATAGTTGACGACGTAGACGAGGTTCCCCCAGCCGGCCTCGGGGGCGTGCAGGATGCCCTCGACCAGCCGGACCCCCCGCATGCACTGCGACACCGGGTTCCTGTAGCGCAGCCCGCACGCCCCGGGGAATTGCGCCGTCACCGTGGACAGCAGCACCGTGCCGTCGTCCTCCGACGGGATCTCGATGGGCTCATCGTTCTCGTCCTCCGTCACCCGGATATACTCCGACATCTTCGCTGGACGCTACTGAACTGCACAGGGGGAAAGCAGCGTGAGCGACCGCCCTGTGCCCGTCGGCTCGGCCTTCATGTCCCTCGCCCCGAGGCACCTCTGTGTTTATTACACAGCGGGGAACACGGAAACGCGCCGTTCACTGACACACTGACACCTCCGGCCCTGCCGTACCGACACACGGACCAACACCGTGGCCTGTCCCAGAGCTTCGGAGGGACCGAAGCGACAGGTCCCCGAGCATAGCGGGGAGGTGCCACCAGCTCCCGCCACGGGGGCCGCTCGCCACAGCCCCTCTGGGCCCCGCCGCCTGCCAGGCCCGCCCAAGCCTGCCCCCTCCGTGCGCGGCTCCGCCCGCCCCAGCCTCCCGGGCAGCCCGGCCCCGCCGGCCCCGCGCTCCACTCACCGGCCAGGGAAGGGAACGGCGTCCCCGGAGCCGCTCGCTGCCCCCTCGGTGCCCCCTCAGTACCCGCTCCGCCCGCCGCCCTCCGCCGGTACCGCACAAAATGGCGGCCGCGGCCCCTCAGCGGCCGGGCCGGGCCTGGGCCGAACCATTCCCGGCGGTCGGGGGGGGAGGTGGCGGCGGGGCGCTGCGGCCGCGGGGCCGCGCGAAGCCCCGGCCGTGCCCCGGCACATCCCTCTCGCTTCCAGCCGGAGCTCGGCCGGTGCTCTCGGCACCGGCGGAGGCGGCCGAGAGAATACCCCGAGCCCGGCTCCCCCCGGCACGGGGCCGGTGGTGCGGCCCTACCCGCGCCTGCGCGAGCGCGGGAGCTGCCGGGAGCCGTGAGGGGACGGCGGGGCGGGAGCGGCACCGAGCGGGGAGAGCCTCGGACAGAGCGGCCCTGCCTCGCTCCCGGCCACAGAGAACGAGAGCTCCTGACTGGAAAAAAACAACCCCTACTCAGTCACTTGGTCTGTTCAGCCTGGAGGAGAGTGAGGGGAAACCTCACTGGGGTGTTCAACATCCTCGTGAGGGGCAGCACCGATCTCTGCTCTGTGTGAGCAGTGAGAGGACCCAGGGAACGGCTGGAACTGTGTCAGGGCAGGGTCAGGCTGGAACTCAGGAAAAGGTTCTTCCCGCAGAGGGTGATGGGCACTGAACAGGCCCTCCAGGGCAGTGGGCATGGCCCTAACGCTGCCAGAGCTCCAGGAGTGTTTGGACAAAGCTCTGAGGGACTGGGTGGGATTGTTGGGGTGTCTGTGCAAGAACAGGAGTTCGACTCGAGGATCCTTCTGGGCCCCTCCCAACTCAGGATATTCTATGATTTGCAGAAAAATAACCAACAAAAAAAAACCCACAAAACAAACAAACCATCCCAAACCATAAGGGTAAAACCAAACCAACCACGAATCCCCCCGACTTTTCTAAGGCCTAAGCAGTCCTTCCAGGGAAGATGAGGAGCCTCCATCCCTGGGGAGAATTCATCTGAGGTGTACCCAAGGCTCTTCCAGTCGGGCAGGAGGAGACTCCACGTGCAGTTCAAGATCCCTTTTTCGCAGAACAGGACAGGAGTGTTAGAGATGCTGAGCACAGCAGTCGTTTGGATCAGCATCCACCCTGGCAGTGCCTGTGTTTAAACCCGTAAATTGGAGCAGGACTCAGACCCTCACATTGACAGACTCGTGAGCGATCCCAGCTGGCAGGTGTTGGCACTTGAACAGAACCAGTCTGATCCAACCCACCTCCATCTGCACATCTGCAGACATTCCCTGAGGATTTGGGGAAGAACTCGATTAACCAGGCTGGCTAATGCAGAGTTTCGTGGTAGCTCAGGTCTGTATCTCTGGTGTCTGACACCATCCCCAACAACTGGTTCATTGCTCAGAACCAATGTCTTCATTAATTCCTCCAGATATTTGGGGTTTTTTAGTGCCTTTCTCCCTTTTACTGCCCTGCTCACTCAGCTCGCATAAAGCAACTTTGTAGGATCACTAGAATTTTAAAAAAGTTAGTAATTCTAGCCCTGTCCTTTAATACCCAGTAAAGGTTTGCTGTAGCACAGCTTAATCCTCCCTAAACCCAATCTCCACTTACTTGATTGGAAGACTTAATGGTTATAGCTCATTGTACACTACTGTAAACTTCTGAACTCGAGAGGCATTGTGGCTTAGGGACTCCTGTTCCTACTGACACTCAAAAAGTGCAGAAGAGCCTGTCTACACAGGTTTTCCTGAGCTGCACTCACAATAAGGACAAGCCTGTGTGAAAGAACCACAGGGAGGAGAAAAACATCGATCACAGGAACATGGCATTTTCCACCTGGTTTGGCCCCTTTTACAAGGTTAATCATCAGCTTTCAGCAGCATCACCCTCTACATAAACACCCCACCTTTTTTTTTTTTTTGTTACTTTGCAGTGATAATACTATAAACCGATACATTATTAACTGTTCTGCAGTTTTAATCTGACGTTTTCCATCTGGATAATTGCCATTCCACATCTCCAAGTTATTTTATTCTGATACTTTACTAATGAGCTTATCTGGTCCATCAGTCACAGTCACATTAGTCTCCAGTCACACCAGAGACATCTGTAACACAATCAGTGTTTATTACAAGATCCACATGAACAGGAAGCCACACAGGGTTGGCATTAGCAGAGCTGTGAAGCCCTGCCATCATCATCATAGACAAGGAGTGCACTGCAGAGCTTTAACCAGCTCAGCGACCTAATCTGTGGTCTGCACCACACTATTACAAGGAAAATGATTCTACCACCTTTTCCCCTCCTCATCTGCCCCTTTGTGGCACTCATCCAGTCTGTGTTCCCAGTGCCCATCCAGACTGACTTTCTTTGCATTGGCCTCCTAAAAAGAAGTAAAAATAAGCCTTAGTAAGGAAAGACAGCCCTACTGCTGGGGAAGGCTAATCCAGTCCCTTGCATTAATGTCTTCTGCTAAGTATTCAAGACTCCCACTACAGATTCCTTCAGGTGTGAAAACTGGCTCCCAGCACCACTGAACCCCAGCCCATCTATCCCTGCGTGACTTTAGACTCAGCCTTATCATTTAATTAGCATTTTTCAACAGAGTTCTGAGAGGACCTGACTAGACACAGGCTAAGGAGATAAGCTAATGCTCCAGGTAGGCGTTCTCCTGAAATTCCTACATTTTCTAGTGATCCACGATACACATCCCAAAGCCAGTTCAGGTGCTGCCGAGTCAGCACGGAGGCAGTGAGTGCTGTTTGAACACGCTGTGAGGACGAGTGGTAATTGCAGCATGTCAACATTGCCTGCTGCACCATTTCCACTCAGAGTTAGTTTAGCAATCACCTTATTGAAGAGGCAGTCGTGGCACTGAGCCAGAGTGACCTTCATCTCACACAGCATCTGGCGGTAATTGCACTAATGAGCAGAGTAAGCACCAGCCCTGAACTGGATTTCATGCAGGTAAGAGCTTGGTGAGAGCAGGGAGCTCTGTGCTGGCTGTGGAACAGGCAGGGGGAAAGAAGGGCAGTTATCCACAACAGAGGCTCCTGCCCCAAGAGCTTCTTCCTCACTTTTGGCAACAAACAAGCTTAGAATTAAACAAATGTTACTCTCCATTTTCTGCAAGAACTGGGATTCTCGCAGCACTTTCCTTCTGTTCTTTTGCATTATGATTAGGTTTAAGTTAGGCAATTAACAGTGGTATTGCTCTTGAAGTAACTACACCAGCGGGCACAGTGCTAGTTAATTCACCAGCTCCCTCTCCCTGGCAATTCCAGGGCCCGTGGGTGCAGACAGATGCAATACGTGGCACTAGCCATCATGTATATTGACTTAAGTGTGCCCACAGGCACAAACCCAAGTGCAATACAATAACTATTTGCTGCTCTAGGTTAACTGTGCTCAGGGGTGCAAGCAAACTCGGTGTAATGATCAGCTGTTCACCCTCCCAAAAGCACTTGGGATGAAAAACAGCATCGGCAGGCAACTAAATATAAGCTCCTGA